ACAGGGATAAACTAAAGAGCTCTAGCTACTCAAATAATAATAAAATTAGCTCATTAACGGAGCCAACGTCACCAGTGGTAACTAGCATTAGCTTTGTAATCCAATATTACGATTTGTGGGAATCCGCATAAAAACGCTGGATGGGCACCTAGCAACCTAAAGTTGTCCTTCGACAGAAAAGCCGCTTTGGCCTTTAGCATAGCTGGTCCTGTTCATACATATTTCCATCAATCAACGACGTAACTGCTGCTGTTGTTCATGCGGGAAAATTTCAAAGCGTACATCTTAATCAGCGCGTTGATGAAAAACCGTACTTAATAACGTGAATTTGTAGCTCATGAATGCATCATCGAACGCCTGTATAGTCATATATGAATCTGATGCCTGATCTTGTGCCTGACGGCAGTACCTTTACGAAGTCACTCGGATCTATATGTAATCATAAATCCTTGATAATAAATAGACTGTTGATAAACAGTAGGAATACAGAGCAAACAATTCTCGAGCTAGATCATAGCTCACCGCTCTTACGTTTTATTACTGCGCAGATCTAGAAATTACGATAGGTAAGGTAAAGGTTCTTTGCATTTTAATCACGCTTACACCTTTCCCTACGACTTCCTTACGGCTTTTTCTGCGGGAGACATAATACCGGCATTTGCCCAAAGCCCTGTTACTGATTCGCCCAGAACTCTCTTAACGATTTACTGGAATGCTTGATTACAGATAAATTTTTGCTAACTGCCACTAGATAGCAATAACAATGAAACAGCTGAGCAGTTACCTCGGTCAGGGATATATGAACCACTGGCTTCGAGTTGCAGATTGTTCTATAGAATCAGGCGTGCTGATCCCAGTCATTATGCCTCATGGAAACTACGTTCCTTGTTGAGGCCATGACCTGCGCGCTCAGGGGAATGAAGTTGTTGAAAAGCCAGTACACTTTTAGCATGTGCCGCGAATGCTGGATGGCTATCTGATAACGCTTTTACCTGTGCATTGTTACATACCACTAAAATTAGCCAGATTTTTGTGCTGTTGAATAACAATGTTTTTCAAAAAGCGTAATTGCCGCCCTTTTTCACTTCTCTTGGGGTTAATAACGCCGCATATTGTCTCAGCACCTCCAACGTACCCGATACGAGAGCCCGCCAACGTACAACGATACGTCACCAGTTGAAACTTTTCCTGTTCTAGCCATATATATATGGCTAGTTCTCAGGTTTGGAAGTGGCCCAACGACCTTCTTTGGAACTTGCGCCACTTGTGGTTGTATAAAAGTCAATGTGCCGCTTTCCTTAGTTAAGTGGGGGTACGAAGGGAGCCGAATATATTTGGTGTCACATAACTGGGGCTTACCCTTCACAGTTTTAACGAAAAAATTGTTAATGCAACACTATACGCTAATAGATAGCCGTGTTTTAGGCCAAATGACGTTCACAATCCACATCAACAACAAAGTTTAAAAGTTTACAACAATGTATTATTATTCCCTTTACTAATTGTGTTTTTGGGCATCATGCTAGTCTATTGATTAATTCAGAAACATCTTATTATATAGTATGATCATTCCCTTATACATGAAAAGCAACTGGCGAAATAGTAAAAAATTTCGCACGGATCTGCTTCAAGAAGGACGACGGTTTATGTTTGAACTATCCATATGGTACCTCGAGTGTTTAACTTACCATTCGGACATCAAATACATTTTAAACTTCAAACGAATTACCTTAGAAGTGTATGAGGTAGGTCGTATGTGATTATGACCGAGTTCCCCCAGATATGCAAACGAAGTGAGCTGATTTAGGTTTTAACCTATCATCCGTACGTGCTGGTCCCGCAATCTTTAAATGACTACCCATTCCTTTCGAGCTAGAAACATCGCTATGGCCTCCTTGCGTGCTTGGTAATATTTCATATGATATTATACCGTCACATTGCTGCTATGCAAAGGGACTGCTGCTCAGCATCGTTACTTTTTTCACTACGCTGTCCATTGATGGTAATCGCCTGTGTTCCGTCGGGTGCTTAGTGCATTTGACCTCTGCACTGAGGTTGCAATACAATTTTGAAACACCCCGCCACACGCCGGAAGCCTCTTGCGCGGCATGGCATGGCATTGCGGTTTGATAATTCCAGACGACCCGTTTATGACGTGTCAGTGTTTTCCTGTCCTTCATCGTTAGAACCGTGCACGGAATTGCAGAAGATCAGTAATCGCTGTCAGTCCCTAGTTCGTCCAAGGCAAGTGGTAAATTAGATAATCACGGGAGCTTCATTCAATGTGCGATAATCACTGGCACGAGCTATCGGAAAATAATGCGGAAAATAAACAGAAATAATGCAAGAAAGAACTGGCTAAAATAAACGATTAGTGTTTCAATGTTGCTTTTGCACCTCGTTTGGTTTGAGGTGATAATACGATCATCCTCCATCAGTTTGGTACGCAGTATTCCATGACAGATTCAAATTTGGGATCAACGAAGAGGAGACGAAGGTGATTTGTTGAATTCGTGACAGCCTGCTGATAACTTACGACTATAGAAACTGATTAAGTTGCAAGCTCGATAGTAGAGCTTCGAAAGCGGATACAAGTACATTTTGTTTCGTGCTGGTAGGACGGAGACCGTCTAAAGCTATGCTTAACGGCAGTACCAAACGTAAAAGTCGAGACATTCGTTGCAAACGTAGTGGAAAAATGACCCAGCTACAACTGATAACGCAGCTACCCTAGTTGGTCTCGTCTTTACAGAGCTCGCAGTTGACTGTATAGAAACGAAATCTAAAGGATTTATGCTTCGGTTATATATTTTATGCTCTTTGTGCAATCTAGATTGTATGCATCGGTTTATCAGAAGTTTCAAGGTGCTCAGGCCACATTTGCTAGTTGCGCCTCTGATTATTCAACGCTGTTCCGAAAGTCAAATGGCAGGTTAAACATAATAATCCCTTTCTTTGACAGCAACGCAAAGCGGATGGCGGAATTACACAGTTGTCCGCACTTGGATCCAGGACATGCTTTTTCGCAGCTATCGCTATAGTCCTTTATAATTTACAAAGCTTTGTAAATGGAGCCCGATTCTAAAACGTTGCCGGCTTGCTTATGTCAAAGTCGTTCGCGTTCATCTTAGGAACGCTTTTATTTTTTTAGGTTCCTCATATGTAGCGGAATACAGTGTAACGTTTATATTTCTACATCTTTCTCCAAACACCCGAAAGTCTCAGCATCGCAAAAGGTTACCCCGTATGGAGATTTTTTCAGGGTGGATACACCTCACCCGCAAAGCCTGTACCCTCTCTCTGTTTTCTGAAATCTTAGTCGAGCTGTTTCGGTGAGCTATTTCTACCGTGATTTTATTCAGTTCTTGTAAAATAGCGTAGTGTTCACAAGCATTGTATGGTCGTTGCAAAAAATATCGAAGCTTGTAACATTTTTAGAGTTGAAAAATTCTGCACCATATGATACACGAGGAGTCAGTTGCTAGGCTTAAAGTCCTAATAAAATGAACTAATCTATGTCCCTGTTAACCCCCAGAAAAGCATTATCGAGTGTCAAAAGTATCAGCAAGTCTACCGCAGAGTGTTTGTTACTACACCAATAAAACTGAAACAGGCATAACAAAAACACATTTTTTTTATTTGCTGCTAGAAAGCTGGCTGTATTTTTTCTGCAGGTGATACGTTTGTCACGTTTGTTAGAGAATATCTGATACAACAAACCTTGCATTGTTGCATAGACTCAAGGTTCGTACAGGACGTGATTCGTAAATCAGAACGTTTGCCGTCGCTTTTTATTCCAAACACATCATCACTAACCTATTTAAACTGAACTTTGGTGAATTTCTTGATTACTAGCTTGTAACGACGGCCTCTGTGATAATCAAGTATAATTCATTGAAAAACAAATGAGAGAGTTGTGTTGCAGTAGTTATGTAGAACTCGAGATACCAGGCCGAAATAGGACAACTTGAAATACTGTATTTGCTTGGTAAAAATTTTAACTTGAAACCAAGATAAATTGAAAATACACTATAGAGTGACTGAACAATCTATGCCAAAGAGCATTTCTATACTTGTCTGTTATTAGTTTAACCCGTAAAGACATGTGTGTCCACCCCTTCTCAGCAAACTATATAATACTTTGCCATACTGTGAGTAAACTTACCAAGCTTCGTTTCGAGTACTTGGTTGATGTAAGTGCTCATTCTTCGCAGCATCTGCCAGCACTCTTTATTAGCTTAGCTATGTCATACATAATAGAATAAGATAGCGTAGCGTTTTCGTATTTCCCTTTGGACTCAGCGTGGACGAAATATTTTCATGCTATAACTAAGTGTTATAAACGACCAGTTTCAAGTTGTCTCACTGCGAAGACTTATAAAAACCTAAACGTTTATGTAAACAGTGAAGACAGATCTTTCATGTAGCATTCTTCCCTCTCAACAATGGCGATATACATATAATTAGGTAGAGGATCACAACTGCACATCTATCTCCATGTTTGTACAGCGGAACAGAACATACAGAAGTTATTAAAATGGGGTGGCTTCTAGTGTATATATATTTATAGGAAGAAGGAATGGTTATGAACGCGTCTAGGTAGGAGGATTGCTCATATTTAGTGAACAGCAGGCACGATACACCTTGCACTCTGCTTAGCAAGAATTTTAGTTCTAAAGAGTTTCAAAATTTTCTGAAAGTCCTAAGTGTTTGTGAATTTTGACACTTGTATATGTATATATATTTTGCTTTTACTTGCTTCGCCGCTCGTAAAATATCCAAGCGGCCTTCGGTACGATTTCACTAAATGTTTAGGAATTGCCTTGGTATGTGGCCTACTTTTGTCGAGTCTTATCCTGTCCATTATATGAAAGGGATAGGTAAGAGAATATCACAATGTTTTTGAACGGTTACCTTATAGATGGTGCTAAGCTAATTTGGTGTATGTGCATCAAGGGTTTGAAAGCATTTGTTAGAATTTCTTTCTTTTGCGATTTCAGAGTGAGTCGGTAAGCGATTCAGCCCTAGCGGGCAACAGCTCGACCCCTGCAGCCGTCGTCGTCGTAAACGATGCCAAAGATGCGACAAAGGAAGAGACGACCGAGGCTGCACCCGCCGTTGATGCTGGCGGTGGAGCGGGCGAAGTCTTTCAGGATATGCTCGAGCAAGCTTCGGAAGTCAGCCACGGTAAGAATTACCTATACGGTGCTTGACCAAGATGAAATAACTGAACGAAACATAATCGATGCTGCTTGTCGATTTTCAAGCACCATTCTCATATTTTTGACCGGGCAAATTTATCACTAGTACTGTTTTTATCATATCGTGATTATAAAAAAGCTAGCAAATATCGGCTGCTTACCTTGAGTATAGAAACAGCTGAGCTCACAGATCACAAAGGAATAAAAAGTTTCTCTTCAATATTTGATGTACATCAAATTGTAATTTTAGGTTAACGTGTCCAACCATAGTGCTCCATTGAATTTGTTCAGGCCCAACATAACCTTTCTGTTGCACCTGTTGTTATGGCGGTTACCACCATTTTCGTGCTTTTGTTGTTACAACGTTTGTCTATAGTACCAACGTGGGGCGTCGTAGGGATCTTGCTCTTGATCGTCGTAGTGACAATTGGAATAGCCGTCTTATGTCTGCGTCGTTGGTGGAACAAACGCAGAAGGAAGGGCGATAAGAAAGGCTTTAAAGGAGCTGTCGATCTCAAAGGAGTAAGTATCATCACATGCATTCCCTAACCGAATCGCATTGTGGCCAAGGCTATTTTAGTGCCTGCACATAAATGTACAATTCCAGTCCTATTGCCATTCTGAGCGCGTCGAACATTGATATTCGGGCTATTCGTTACGCAGCATAATAGCATCTGAGACAAAACTGCTGTGACCTCAGTCTATAATTGGTAAGCGTTAGTCATAGTCATCATTTTGAATATACAAGCTATCGGATGAATCGATGCAAGAAACAATAGATATTGCTACCCTTATTTATTCCTGCTATTCAGATTCAGCCTGATGGTGAAGAACTCGTTGATAACATGGAAGAGAACGAAACCGGCGGGGAAGAAGCTAAAGAGGAACAGAAACTTGGCCGGCTTCAGTTCAAACTAGACTACGACTTCAACTCGAACAACGTAAGTTAAGCTTCGTATATATATATAATACAAGGACGTGGGCTATCGTGTATAGGCAGAGGGCGTACGTGATAGATTTTATGACAATTTGAGATTGGCGCCGCGGGCCCCACTCGTCAGGCGATGCTTAGCCATTACAAAATACTAACCATAGCGGCAAATGTATATTGATTTATGTACAGCATCTTATGTACGCGCAATGATACATTTACATTTGTAGCATACATAGTTGTGTAATGAACAGGTACATATGAAATTAAGGTTGGTTTGTAAAACGACAGAAGATATCTAAAGGTAATATTTGTTATCGATTTCAGTTGGCTGTTACCGTTATTCAGGCGGAGGAACTGCCGGGCCTCGATCTTTCCGGAACCTCTGATCCTTATGTCAAGGCATGCGCATTGTTTACCTGACCTGTAGGAAAGCAATGAAATGATTAAATTAGAAAGGCATTTTTAGTACAGCGTTGTGGAGCTTTTTAACAAATCAGTACTCGACCTAACTATATAAATTATTTTGCTCTAACCTGGCTGAATCCAATTCCAGGTATACCTTCTACCTGATAAGAAAAAAAAGTTTGAAACAAAAGTTCATCGCAAAACGCTGAATCCCGTCTTTAATGAAACCTTCAATTTCAAGGTTTGTCTAGATGCTACCGTGACACAAGCTACCGTGACCAATTTTCAATTAAAATTCACATAGTCCTACCAGTGCGGTAATCCCCGAATCCGTATTTTACCTATCATTAAATATGCTTTATTTCTCTTACGGCTATTGATAATTCAAATAATAATACATTTTCGCAGGTACCATACGCTGAGATCACGACGAAAACTCTGGTGTTCGCGATCTTCGATTTTGACCGCTTTAGCAAACACGATCAGATAGGCGAAGTGAAGATTCCCATGAATACCATCGATCTGGCACAAACCATCGAGGAGTGGCGGGACCTAACGAGTGTTGACAATGACAAGGAAGTGGTAAGGGCTGCTCACAGAGACATTTTCTACTTTCAAATTAAAAAAAAAACTTCAAAAAACCCTAGGGTCTCGTTAAAGATATCTAATTAAATTATAGAATACAGAATATAGACAATAAGCATTACTTTTGTGACCAATAACGGTTTTATCTCTTATGCATAATCATAGTCATATATTCACAAATATATTCGAGTTGTAAAGAAACGAATAGAGATAGATAGCTCTATAAATGTTTATCTTGCCTGTCGGTCATTGCATGTGTGCGCATTTCTAAAATCCACCAGCTTGGCGACATCTGTTTCTCGCTACGTTATGTGCCCACAGCGGGCAAGCTTACCGTAGTCATCTTGGAAGCTAAAAATCTCAAAAAGATGGACGTCGGGGGTCTATCCGACCCATACGTTAAAATCGTGCTAATGATGAACGGGAAACGATTGAAGAAAAAGAAGACCAGTATTAAGAAATGTACACTCAACCCGTACTACAACGAGTCCTTCGCATTCGAAGTGCCCTTCGAACAAATTCAGGTTCGTAGCTTTGGTGTTTCTTAATCGAAACGTGGAAAAGTCCCACTTGCGGCGGCCATCTTTTGACTCTTCATGACTCGATACCACCCAACCAACCCACAATGGCTAGAAATTTTAAAAACGTCTCTTATTGCCGAAGACCTAGCTAGTAAAACGAGCATATGATGCTTTCAGTAAGAATTTAGCGAACAATAAGGAGATTACACCATTTGAAACGATGCCCGATCTGCTTTTTGGGAAGAAGGCACAGTTTTTGCGAATAGTTTCTATCGACGAACCGAAACGGGACACAGAACTCGATTGAGTTAGAAGGCGCATGTTGAAAATGTACAATATTTTCATTAACTGTCAACAGTTATACAACAAATTAATTCGTATAGACCCAATCAATTTGCCTCTGGAAGAATCAAACAGCTTCGATAGAACCTTAAGCCAACGACTTGATATGTTTTAGGTTTCTGCCACACAGTCAACAACAGACAACATTGGATAGATTCATCGTTTAAATTAGATTATTTATTGAAGGTTGTTTGTTGGCTTCCTCTTTTTCTTAGTCAATAAGGCCGATTACGTGATAACCATAATTATTCATCAAGCTGCTTTCCCTTACAGAAGGTTCAACTCATGGTAACCGTGGTCGATTACGACCGAATCGGTACATCGGACCCCATTGGCAAGGTGATGCTGGGATGCAACGCTACAGGCACTGGTATGCACGTCTACCAAAGTGATCGTTTTATTATTTAGCATTTTTTAGGTATGAACAAACTCAAAAAAAGTCTGTAAGATTGAGTATCCAGTTAAAGAGGGGCGGCTGCGGCCTATATTGTACAGTAAGCAAGCTATTCTAACGTGATCCCCCAATGTTTATCTGTTATAGAACTGCGTCACTGGATGGACATGCTGGCATCTCCTCGGCGGCCTATCGCTCAGTGGCATTGCCTCAAGGATCCTGAGGAGTGCAAAGAGGAGAAATAAAAGTCTTCCTCGAACCAACAACAATTGTAGTATCCTACTACAGGATCCAAATATGTCCCGAGGTACGACGCCGCCGTAGAATACATTGAGGTTTAGCAGCTGTCAAGGCGAAAATTATTTTTACGATCGAAAAGCGAACACACGTTAGGCGAAACTAGCGCCACCCTATGTCCGTACGCATTTTGGCAAACGGGTTGACCTAGCTGTACTGAACCTATCCCTTAATTTTTCTCTAAAAATCTTTGCAGGTTTCAAAACCCACTCCAATCGACAAGTGGAGAAACTGTAATACTTGGTAACTTAGAAAAAAAAAAAGATGGCGATTCAACTATCCACAGCGATGCCGTGGATAGCACAATGTTTCATAATGGCATAAACAAACAAGACTGGCGACAGCAAGAAAACATCGCGTTGCAGCAACCAACATTTATCCTACAAACATGCATTGACTATAACAATGGACACAACATCAAAAAAAGAAATAAATGGCGTTACCTATGAATGAACGGATGGACTCAAAAAGACCAGAAACCGGAAAACTACATTATATATATATATATATATATAGAACCAAAACCGTAGCTGAACCCAAGAGACGAAGCATAGTAGCTTCCAACTTGGTTAGATTGGCTAACTTGGCCAACATCAAGACGTCGACACCAAGAAAATAACGACAACAGAAACAGCATGAACAACAACTTATTTACCACTATCTGGTGCATTTGCAGCACTCCTCACGACATAATAACAATCGAGAAACGGCAACGCAAGGTCAGGTTGCCCTTCAAGATCCAAGAATTATGTGAGACGATAACCAACATCTTAATAGCTTCTATAAATATCAACAATTATCAAGACAAATGATATTATACAGATATATAATATCATCGGTATCACCAGCGAATGACTGTGAATTCGTAGTAAATAACAACTAGTTTTAGTGTTACATGAAAATACTATGAAAAATATAAGTGTAAGCAAGAAGAAAGCAAGATGACAAATAAGCAACAGAAAAATGCCTGAAATCTACATAAACTATACAAGGTTAGTAAACGTACGAACTGATCAAGTGGGGATCAAGAGAAAAAATAACTATTAGGCATATATAAACATTAACAATAGCGAATAGAGTTTCGTGCGCATCTGCCTTAAGCAGTCACGTACCTGTTCTTCAGCTCGTGGCACGTAGAGCTATCTTTGGCTTCAGACTATTTTAATTCAAGATAATAATTCTTCTTCTTTCGAAGCTTTGTTGCTTAGTTCGCTTTAGTCCTTTCGTGGTTTAGACTACATGCTAACAATTTGCCGGATTACCTAGGTCATCCTAATATGTTTATAGATTACTTGATCACTATTGCACGACATGTTAACGATAGTCCCTGCACTTCACCGTATCGTGTGGTGATTTATACCAGTACATTCCATGTTATGCAATTCCGTTTGCCACCAAATGTTGCTGTCCATTATACCTCGGAACAAATGTAGAATCTATTTGCGATTTCATTTTTCTATTACCTTTGTTCGGGTTGCTTCTATGTTCGGTCTTCTTTCTCATTTGAACGTTTGTATCGTCCAATCTTTTGCTCTTAACTTTCACATTCTCTCCGCTGCTGTCACTTATTGATTGTGCCGTTTCTTTCCTTCATAGTTTTCAGAGACAACTGCACACTCTAGATATTTGAATTTTCAATCGACAAGTTCAAGTTCGAGCCGCACAGCCCTCTGTGAAGCGTGCAGAGACTGTCGGGGTTTTTGAGGCAACTTCTACCGCTACTATTCCTCTAACCTGAATTACTCCAATACCACTGCAAGCAACACTTAAGTGCTGCTAAGTCAACGCTATGAAGATACGCAAGCAAGAAAAATTCGAGCAAACAAGAATGCAAAGCGAACGTTAAACGTCTTCAGAAACTCCGTTCCTAACCGCTAAAGCGATGCCGCTGATATTCAGCCACCATCTGCTACCATTATCTATACGCACCTATTAGCCCTCGAGAAAAAACAACGCTAATTACAAACGCAAACACATTACGTACAGTTCATCATTAATTGACGACTCTAATTAACGACGTAAATTTGTTTATAAAAACACACTATAACAACGTCAACCGCTGTTATACCTAGTAGTAGTTATTAGTAACAAGTTACTTCGGTCGTATGAGCATTTTCACGCAAGCGTCAAACAACTTTTTTAACAAAGCTTTTCAACCTAAATATCAGTCGCAAAACAAGTGGATATTAAGCAGTTCCTCGACACGCTAGCGTAATAAGAAGCGGAAGTAATCGAAGAGACGCCAACATCTCTACAATAGATAATCTTTACTAATAATAACGACCACTTGAAGCGAACCGGCAGAAGTAATCGACCCAGCTCGCGTTGCTGTCCGCGCAGCAAATGTTGGGAAAGTCTTGCCAAAACTTCTGGCAGGAATTAGTCTCTGTTGTATCGGCCGCAACAATAGCAGCAAAACGCATATTTAACATAGGACGCAACCGACGACCTAGCCAAGAGAAACTCGTCTAGAAAAAAAGGAACAGAAAATTAGATAACAAAATTGCTAGCTAATAGCTTACCAATCTTGCAGACAGAACTCGACAAAAAAGTATATTTCTATTGCCGTTTTATAAACGTCGCGGCAACTATACTATTTTATGTACACACAACAATAACATGTTTACGAAAGCCGACGATATATGCAGGAGTAGGAGTTGTGGCTTAACAGCTAGTGTTTAAGTGTAATAACAACTAACTGTTAACTAAGCCAAACCAGTATAGCATGAAGGTTAGTCATATAACATTAACACAATCAGTGGCTTATCTGAATTACAACGGTTACCTAAGCAATAGACGACGGTTGCCGTTCTAGTTTCAGTAGGCTGAACTATCGATCTAAGAGCCTAAATAGCAGTAAATCCAAGTAACTACCCAGTTATTAAGCATTAAGCAAGCAAACCTCGACAACAGACGAACCGAAGGGCTCGAATAACAGCAGTGTCCGTTCACCGCGTGAATGTGTGCGACTACATGGCCATGTAGCCACCTTGCCCCACATAGGGCATAGAAGAAGACTTTCGGCACTGGTTTTGACGACCTATTGTGGCGAGGCCGCGGTTGGCTGGACGGGCCCTTACACTGCCCTCTATACGCTTTTCGACCTGTCTAACTACCCTTTAAAACATTCTACCCACCCACTCACGACAGATATCCTCCGACACCCATATTTCCTGTTTAGTCTCGCCCTTGCATCGCTTGCTGGCCACCGACGGCTTCAGCGGCGAGGCCTCGAGGCATAATGCAGAACGGTCCTACACGTGTCGACCATACCACTTCGACAAAAAAATCGGACCAGGAATAGGATTAATGATGTTCAGAGCACAGTGAACATGAAAATCTAACCATCCTGTGTGGCAAGTACTACTTCAATAAAGCTGTCTTCCCTTTCCTTCTCGCGTGAGAGTATTTGTCACAAAAGTGTAACGTTCAAATTATCCAGCAGCTTGAGGAACTATCGTGATATACATCGCACACAACAAAGACACTATTTCTCACATGGTACTACGGATTTCTTGAGGTCTCACCACCGTGAGCCTCCACCTACCTGGGGTACAGACAGTACCGGAGAAAGTCTTCAAGCTACTCTATTGCAATGATATAGCAAATAAAAAGTAAAGCTGATTGTAGCCTGCTCTAGCTTATACTACCGTCTCAAAGGGTCTCCACCAGAGCTTCTTAAGCCTTGTAAACTACTTTCGTAAGCGTTCTCAAACAAAGAAATGCAAGCACGAATTATACGCGAAGCTCTGGTCTCTGCCGCAGTGCCTATTGCCAGAGTAAGGTTCATGGGTCAAAGAAAAAAGTGTGTGTCGCACGGTGTTGGCGAATCACCTGCGTTGCTATCGAGTCGCGCTTCCGTTGAAATCCCGCGGACGTCAGTTATGTCTCCGTGCGCCGTAACGATTCCTTTCGACGACAAATTCGACGACACGACCGATGACCACGGTGACGCCGTCGTAACAGCTCTAATAAATCATGACATGTGTTTTGATACGGCCAACAAAACTAGATTAACTCGATTTGTGGCTTCAGTGAAGGTTGCCATCAGCGCCTTTATAATATCAAATTCATGGAACAAACAGTTCGTCTGCTGTTACACGCCCACCGTCGGAGAACATATTTATACTAATAATAACTCCATACTCCAACGCCAGTAACAGAACCAATAACACAGGTGTATATATACATATATACACCAAAGACGCCACCAATCGCGCCAATTACTTACGTGCGAAATAACTTTATTTCGCCGGTAGCATCATCGAGACAACAAAAAAAGCTGTTTCCAAAACGATATCATAGTGGGATGATTGGGCGGTGGGCAGAATTGCCCTGCCTTTAAAAGGACAAACAGTAAAGCCGTGAATATTGGCAATCGATTGAATCGACACGCTCAATCTGTTCCCATGTTGACAAGGATCAATCATTGTGATGCTCCGGTGTTTTTTGCGGGAGCCTCAAAGATTTTAAAAGCCTCGAGCATTTCATACGGGAAGGCGAGGGTGCTGAGAAAGAGAACCGGATTCGTTAGAAAAGTTCTCAAGCCGACTCTGAACAAAGTTATTCTCGCCCCTGCCCTATACCTAGCTTACGTAAAAAAGCGAGTGTATACATCTCAGAGCAACGGGTGCTGATGACCGCCATACATTTCCTCCTCACGTGTTGCACAAACTTTTGTTATTGGGGGGGGG